CCCATTTCAAACGTCCCTGTGGCACAGCATGCCACTGATGTCACCTCAAATCCTGTCAGTCACACAAGAATTTAATCAGACAAATCACAATTTAATACGTATACGAATTCTCCAGTTTAAACCGGGGAGAAGAAAGTAGAAGTAAAAACTGTAAAGAAAAATCACATGATAACCACCACCCAAAGAATGTGACTACTTAAATGCTAAAGTGAGAAATATGGTGCTCTGTAGTTTTTGTGTAGTAGTTGGGTCAAACATTTGCTGCAGATCACAGACTTAATATAACTCACTGGCTCATCTAAAAAAATAAAAAATAAATATAACTCACTGACTTACCATAGAAAGAAGGTCTTCTTATCATATGCAGGAAAATGTAATATGGGTTTGAAAACACCAGTTTGATCCCAGGAAGCTCTTTGCTCAGGTTTGTGGTCAAGCCCTTCAACTTGCCATTGAACTCCAGAGCCACATTGTTGTAATCTGCAATGCAGTCATTTCCACCCATGACGTTTGTGGTTCTCTCCAATGGCAAGCACCCCATCGGAGGCAGACCTCCGAGGGAGATTTTACGGGCTCCGAGATGGTAGAGTTGCTTGATGAAATTTCCTGCAATTCCAATGAGAAAATCTTGGTATTGTTGGATAGAGTATTGGGATGACCGGCCGGGGTATGTGTAGTAGTTTTCCAGGAAGTCATTGGTGCCTAAGCTCATAGTGTGCAAAGCTCCATTGATTATTTCGTTTGCCTTTATTCCTCCAAGATAAAGTCTTAGTTTGTTCTGATATTCCTTGTAGTACTCCAGTTGCTTCCATAGTGGTATCACAGACTGCAAATGATGAACCGGGATTTTCTAAAAATATGAAAAATTGAACAGACACTTGGTTTGGCTAGCATCGAGTATCAATCTACAGTACACCATTGTGGATATTTAGGTGATATTAATTACTAAGAATTGACCAACTGTTTGCAGAGTATCCACAAAATATTGTGAAAATATCGAGAATGTAACAAATACTGTAAATTGGCAGCCCATTTGGTTTGGTTTTTTTAATTTTTTTTTTTTTATACAAGCGGTAATCTACTTTAAATTAATCTAATTTATAGGAAATGAGATTTGAACTTGGGTGTAAGAAAGTGGACTTACTGCCCTGACTAACTGGCTAACTGACGTAACTCATATTTGAGATTATATGTGTGTGAGATAGAGAAGCGCTTTATACTAAATATTTGGTACTTACCAGCACATCTGAAGTTGCAGTATCATAGCCAGTCCCAGCAGAAGCAAAGGTGACACCAGTGGCAAAATCTGATATGTTATAGGAAGGATCCAAGTAGGCAGGTACGACTGGTTTGAGTCCAAGAGCCTGGGAGATGAAATCTGTAGGCACTCTGCCATTGGAGAACCTCCCAGTTGGCTTGCCACCGGAAAAGTCTCGGCCATAAGGCTCAAAATTGCTTCTGAGAATTGTGGGAATCTGGTTGTTGTTCCCGGCATCCACCGAGGAGTCCCCGAACACGACGACTGCAGGGACCTTGGCACTAATTCTGGTGACTAGCAACAGGCATTGAGCTAGAAGAAGCCATGAAATGTGCAAGTTTCCCATGTTTCAGCTGTTTTGCTTGTTAATTATTTTTGGGGAACAGAGCAACCCTGGACATGGGTTGGGGAGGGGGACTTGTCATGTATAAATAATATTGGTTGGAACATAAATACGAAGGGACTTGTCATGTATAAATAATATTGGTTGGAACATAAATACGAAGGTTTGAATGAAAAGGCATAGGGGTAGAGAGTAGTCGTTGGGAGTTTAAGTTGATGTAGTACTTTACTGAGGTTGGCTTTTCACACAGAAGAAAAAAATATTTGCTTGGCAAGGGATGTATGTATCATTTATTGGTCCATTGCATTACCATGGAACAATTAATAATTAATTGTAGAGGTGATATTTCGGGAGATAGAATATGTCAAACTAATTTATTCAACCTGGCAGAAGGCCCTGGCTGCACTGTACGAATTAAAGTACTTGTATAGAGAAATTAAACAACTCACTCATTTGCTTATATTTTCGGACCGGTTAAAGATCGTGTTATCTTAAAAATCATATAGTTAACAATTTAGAGCCATTTGAGAAAGATAATAGTGACATAATTTTGGCCATAAGCATGATATTTATTTTTCTGATGTTGGAAGAGATTTGAGTTCGACTTCTCCCCACACATACGCCCCGACCTCCCCCTTCCGGTTAATGGAAAAAAGAGAGAAGAAAAAGAAACCAAACTCATGAGCCAGTTGCACAGGTTGCACAGGAGGACCAATATTGTTGTACCAATGAATGTGGTAAGGATTAACATTTTTATTCCCGTGTATATATATGAATTTTGTATAAACTATCAATTATTTATGTAAAAGAAAAAAACGTTGGAAAATATACACCTACCTGTACGAACAAAATTAAACTATGCAAAGGCATAAAGTCCACATTCAGTGGCAAATTATTGAAACTCATAAACCAAAAATCACTCCATTGGCGTTCAAATCTTTCATATATTATGTTGATTGGATAGTTTCACATGCACGAAAGATCATATTAGATATGGCCCTCAACTTTTAAGCTAGAGATTTGAGAGCAAATAAGACCGCATTGGCCTTCCCATCACAACTACTACACCGAAAAATGCAGTCAAATGTGGAAAGAAGAGAGCTGTGTGAGTTAATGTAAACAGATCATGTGTGTGGTTGCCAATGCAAACCGCCCACGAATATGTCCAGTTCCTTTCAAACTTGACTTGGGTTTTTAAAGCTCTTCCAACAGAATTGGAGGTGCTAAGCTTTGTGATTAAATACCTGCCTCATTTTCATGTCTTTGGAAAATTAGCTGTATTGTCCCACTAGTAAAAAAAGTGGCAACAGTTATCATTATTTGGTGACATTTGTAACCATGACAAAAGGTATTAGTCACATTTTTTGACTTTTTGGTGACTAAAAGTTTTGGTGACTAAAAAGGCTTTTAGTCACCCTTTTTGCTTTTTTTGGTGACTAAAGTCTTTAGTCACCCTCCATAACAATCACCATTATATATGGTGATTGTTGCCATTTGTTTTTGTAGTGTCCCCTAAAGCCTCAACTTCTAGTTCCATTATTATCTATCTAGTTTAGTTTTGGCCATACAGATTTGATATGTAATGGTGTCTGGGATTGAAAATTAGAAGTTGTATGTTATGTTAGTTTATACTGCTCATCAGGATAATTCTTTTGTTGATCACAAAAGAAAAGGAAAAGAAAAGAAAGCTATATTTGATTTCAATTGATCTTTTATGTTGCTTTCGTACTCCAAAAAATAAGGCAGCTTACTTTTATGACATTGGTTTGGGGACCAATGCCCCACAAATTTATACTATAATAAATAAATAAAATTCAAACTAACCCCTAATGTATTTGTTGACCTCAAAATCTTTTCGGTTAACTAGGACGATTACTTTGAATGGAATAATCAAAGGGCCGAGCATATTTGAAAACAAAGTCGTAGTGAAGAGAGTGATATGATAGTGTGTGCCTTGGATCTGACTTCGTCAAATGATTTGGGCTGAGTTAAGAACGATTTTGCGACCGTTGGGTCCTTAGCCTTGGTAACAAGGCTACTTGTGTTGCGTCGTGTTGGGTGCTTGAGATTGCCATGTACGGCTGCCAAATGATCTCTCAAGTCCTCTTTGAATCAAAATGAAACAAAGAAAATGAAAGAGAAATGGATCGTGTGGTGCTTAAACAAAAATTCTGGTGAATAGAGCTATTTGTTGATATATTAAATGGATGATTACAATGATAGTGCTCGATAACTTTGAACAAGCTTCATAGTTATTAGTGATATGCTACGTTGAAACCTAGGAAAACAATAATTTATCTTAGGAATACATTGAACAACATTTCAACTTGATTTTTGTTGAGATATTAGGTATTCGAAAATGAAAATTGTTCAATTATTTATAGGCAAAATTTGCTGCTTCAGGAGACGCCGAGACTTGCAGCCACCACCCAAACCTTTTGCGTGAGCCGCCCTTTTACTGTCACATCGTGCCGCGATCACTGATCCCATGGTACTTTTTCTGATTATTCGTTCTCTCCAAGTTCCAAGGGTTTCAATCTTTGAGTAGCTCATTTTGCTCTACTACGTGGCGCTCTTCTCAAGGAAGTACACGTGAAATCCTTGCCTCAGTCGACGCTCGTGCTTTTTACTCGGCTGAGACCCTCTAGGCCGAGGAGCAAATGTTGAGCTTTGACTTTCGTCAAGTCTCTCTCTCATGTCTGACGGTTTGGGTTAGGTCTTAGAATTGGGCCGTCTCCTTAATGCTTGAGCTGAAATTTCGGTGCATGAGTTTTGGGTCGAGTGGACCTTCAGTCAATTTTAACTTTGGGCCTGAGTTTAGACCTAGGCCGAGTTCATTGTTTTCACGGTCATGGGCCTCCTAGGTCTGAACCTCGTTTTTTTACTTTGGGCTTGGATACTTTAGCTTCTAGGCCCAAAATCTTGGCTCAATGGGCCCTTTTATGTCATTCCCCTTGTGGGTTCAAGAGGGAATTTTTTAGGTATAAACAGCATTAAAACTCCTAGTGATCAACCTTTTACATGGATCCTAGCTAGACAAAAAAGAACAAGCTCCCTCTTAAATAAAACCACAAAAAACGTAAAACAGTGGCTTGTGGTTGCGGTACTATTGGGGATTTCAGGACCTTAACCTCCAATTCCCACAGGATGGAACAAAAGTTGCAGTAGGGTACATAAATAAAGAAGGAATACGTAGAGGTTCATTACACATGGCCATGGTAAGCCAAATTTTTGGATCGTTATCACTACTTCCGTTCTTAATAGAGAATCCCGAATACATCCAAGCTCACTACCTTTCCCCACTCTATCTTGAGCTTCCCTTCTATGCAATTTCCATTAGTTGCCTTCATTGGCTCCAACCTATGCTATTAGCCATTACATTGTGCACTGGAATCTATATCATAAGAAATATCAGATCATACATTAACATTTCAAACCCAATTTAATACAAATTCAGATCATCAATCGATCTGTGAGGAACAAATAGTTGAGGAGAAACAATAATCATGATGTTTACACACGTAGATGATCTAACATAGAATGCAAAACAACCAACAGAACCCCACACACTACCTTTTTTTTTTTACTGCCAATGAAGAAAGCATTTTTCTTCAGAGAGACAAAGAATATACACAAAATCACTTGAAGGTTTCTCGAAGAATGCCAATCAAAGAGGCTGCAAGAATCTTATTTGTTTTGTCCGTAGGATGGAAGGCATCCCAGAATACGTACTTATTTGCATCTTTGCATGTATATGGGTTATTCTCATTGCAGAGGTAGCTCATTTCGAATGTCCCAGTAGCACAGCATGCCACCTCAGCAACCTCAAATCCTGTCAACCAATCACAAAAAAAATAAAAATTTATCATAATTAAACCAATTTTAGGCCCTTTTAAATAAATAAATTTCAAGAGCCATTTGTGTGTTCTCTATCTTCTAACAAAAAGAAAACAGAGACAAAATGATGCTCAAAATCAAAGTAAATCATAATTAAGAAAGGTAAGAGCTACCAAATTGCTTGGTTGTTCATAGCTATCAGTGATTAGCTTCAGCTAGTTCTAGAAAAACTCAGGTGCTAAAATGGCACAATGATTCTGTTAGCTGCAACAAAAACAGAAGTCATGTGTGTGCCAAACCAAACTTGGTTAATTGCCTGCATGCTTATATTAAACTCCCATTAAAGTTTCCCACCAACTTTTTCAACCACTTTCTTGTCCGCTTCATCAATATGATTTCACCAACGGGCCCCTAATTAACTAGCCAGTAGGTGTACCCTTTATGTAATTAATCATAGTGACTGCTAAATCTGGTTAATCTTGTATAAGTTTTCCTTCTGTCAGTCAAATGGGCAAAGGTCTATGATCCCCCTGGTTTTTCCAACTCCTATTATATAGTTTTACCTCCGATATTACTAAATAACTATTGCTATTCCCGGCCAATAACGATATCGCGTTCTTCACGTCTTTTGGTCCGGGGGTCGTGATACGCGTGATAACACTTCCACGTGGCATAGCATTATTGGCGGATAGAAAAACAATGCTATCCCCGTTGCAAATAAGTTTTTCTCATTCATAAGACACTCAACAGAATGAGAACACATCTGCTACTAGTCAAAGTTGAATATTTTCTGCTGTTAGGTGTCTAAACTATACAACTCAAAGTTTAATTAGCAGAGTCTGATATAATACTAATGATATAATTATGTGTGGCATGTATGTAACCATAATTTTCAAACCAAAGATCTGATTTTTCCCCAGAGAGAAAGTGTACAAGACTACCAATGACTGTGCTCTTATTGGAACTTTGCCAAAATAGAAAAGATGCTGTCATGGCATAATGATGTATATATTTTGTCAATATATGGCTATTGCATCATTACAGTTCTATAAGCATGTATCTAAAGATCAATAGTTGACAGCTAAGTATTAACTTACCATATGAGGAAGGCCTTTTAATGATTTGATAGAACAGCTGATATATTTTGTCTGTAAACAGAATTCTAAGGCCTGGAAGCTCTTGATTCAGCTTTGCCACCATATTGCTCAACTTCCCATTAAATTCCACAGCCACATTGTTATGTTCCTGCACACAATCATGATTAGCCATGAAATTTCTGGCTCTCTCTAATGGCAGACACCCCATTGGAGGAAGCCCAGTTAGAGATATTTTTCTGACCCCAAGACTGTAGATTTCCCTGATGAAATTTTCAGAAAGTCCAATAAGGAAATCCTCATACTGTTGGACTGTGAATTCCATTTGCCGGGTGGGTATTGTGTAGTAGTTTTCCAGGAAGTCATTTGTTCCTAAGCTTATCAAATATAAAGCCTCTGTCAAAATTTTCTTTGCCTTGGCCTTGCCAAGATAGGCTCTCAATTTGTTCTGGTACTCCTTATAGTACTCCACTTCTTTCCACAGAGGTATCACATTCTGCATTGTACACCAAGTTAGTTTTTATGAGAATTTTTTTTAACCACATATTCAAATTTGAAGCATTGATCAGGCGAAATTGTCCAAATTGATAATCTAATAACATAACATTGTAGATACATAACGCGAACAATATTAACTAAAATTTAGACAAGCAAAGTATGAAAATACATGGGGCATTGTATTTGCATGCATGATTCATATTGTAATAAGATGATGATTAAAGCAAGATAAGGCAAACCCTTATTGTGAATGATGAGACAAATCCAAATTCTGAGACAAGGGGCTTTCACATTATAGCAGATAAATGCAACATAAAGAAAGAGGCTGATATCTTTTGATGCGTAGGTGACTTACTAGTACATCAGAAGTTGCAGTGTCATAGCCAGTTCCAGCAGAAGCAAAGCAAACACCAGTGGCAAAATCTGATATCCCATATTTGGGGTCCAAGTAGGCAGGAACAGATGGTTTGAGCCCAAAAGCCTCAGAGATGAAATCTGGAGGAACTCGACCATTTGAGAACCTTCCTGTGGGCTGGCCACCAGCAAAGTCACGCCCATATGGCTTGAAATTACTCTTCAGAAGTGTAGAGATCCTGTTGTTGTTTCCTGAGTCCACAGATGAGTCTCCAAACACAATAATAGCTGGAACTTTAGCCTCATACTTTGCTACTTGCAGTAGGATTTGAGTGAACAAGAGCCATGGAGTGTATAAGTATGCCATTTACTCTTTAGCTACTTTGTGTCAGTGGCTACTGGCAAAGGCTGGAGATATTTGAGATGAGATTGTAATACATAAGATAAGCAATATGAGAGGAGCTGAGAAATTTGTGGAACTTGTGGAGAAGAGTGGTTTGGTGGGTGAGAAAAATGTAATGGTGATTTGTACTCTAGGACTAGGAGCCTACTGCCTAGAATGCAGGGTAGGCATGGTTATGTCCAATGACTTTTGCAGTAATGTGACAGAAAATTCAGAAAAAGACTTGTGTGAAACGGGGATTTCACTGGTTTTTTTATTTCGGCCAGTCATAATATGTTTCGTGCGATAGCTTTTTCACTTATAAAGTTAACAATGCTTTCCTCAGGAGGTAATTAGGAACCAAGGAAATAAACATGAGAGGAAGCAAACACACCTACAGGCTACAAGTAAAAGCAAGCTGCAATGCCATGAGTTTGCAGGCCAATTCAATTATGTCAGTTGTTGTGTTGGGTAACCTGGTTTAAAATTCAGTTCTAGTTATAGGAGCAGCACCAAGACATTTCATAGGTCCTAAGCTTTATCTGTTTTAAACTTCCCAACTCTAGATATATATGACAAATTAAGAACAAAACAGATATAGCAAATGATAATTAATGGGTTTTTAATCCAAAAATTTGTTGTTGAACTCTGTGTTTTGTATTAATCAAAGGTCAATAAGCCCAAGTTTGTGGTCCTGATGTTAGGAAGGTGATTATAAATTCCCAACTAGTTTTGAGTTTACATTATTGGTGTGATCGTTGATCAAAATTCATTTTTTTATTAAGCGGGACAGAGGGTAGTTGTAGCATTTAAGGGAGACAGAGGCAGTGACAGGCCCTAGTTAAATTGTTCTGAACCCAAAAGAAAGCTGGCTTTTCTTTATGAGGGTCATCTCCATTTATAGAACTTTTCTGTGCTCTGAATTAGCTACTACAAGTTACAAGGACTCTTTAAATCATAAACCAGATTTCTTTGCCTTTTTGACGTTCATTTTGCAGGTGAGGGATTCGATCGCTCATATGCACCGAATTTCATCATATAACTATGAAGTTAAATGAGTTTGGGTTAACAGGGCTAAACTCAAATTTTCACCTTTTAAAATACAACTATTCATGTATTACACGTAATCAACAGTTTTTTCCCCTCAACAACTCAAATTTTGACTCTGCATCTTCATTAGATTTAAAAAAAAAATGGTTTAACTCTATTTATTTTTTGTAGTTAATTTTTATTTATTACATTTTGATTTATTTTTATGAACATTTTGCCCTAAATTTTTTGAAATTCCACAAAAAATATTTTATTTCACTTAAACATAAATGGATGGGATAAATGAGTGGGTATATATAGAATTTTGGGTTGGATATAATCTATATATATATATATATATATAGCACAAGGCAGATAATTGTAAAACATTCAAAATACCAAAAAATGACATTGATTAGTAAAAATTAGGATTTGAAATTATTAATTAAATGAAGATAATATGATAAATTCACACTTTTTCATATTAAAAAAATTAAAATTAAAAGAAAATTAAGATAATGGATCCTAAACCCTAATTTAGATAAATTTTAAGAAGTTATTTTAACCATTGAATTTAAATATCAACCATATCCTTTTTAACCATTGAATTACCTAACTTTGCATAACAACCATTGATCTAATCCAAGTACCGTTGGGTTTGAAAAAAAAAAGTCAGATTCAAAGAGAGCCATTGATCTCCAAGGGACAAGTGCTGTTAGCGTGCCACGTGGTTGCGAAAAGGCCAAGTGGCTGACATACTAATGTCGCCAGGGCCCCGCCTGCACATTATTCTTCACCTGCTGGAAGTTGGCTTCTACTTTGGGCCCCAATGATTTCCAGATCAGGCAAAAATACCAGGCGCTATTTAGCCCAACTTATTGCTTGGATTGGTATTTAGACCCCAACAAATACACGGGTTGAAGGACATTTTTAGCCTCTCGGATTGGAGAGGGAATGAAAAACAACTCTGTATCAATTTCTTATTTTTTCTTTCTTCACTTTATCTTAATGCCTGCAAGCAAGCTATACATCCATCTATGACTCTTCATTTTTTCAAGCACTTCAGTTCATGTACACATTTGTTTCAATATACTCCATGTTGAAGAATATAAGTTCCACAGCGAAAACTTGACTAAATAAAATACAAAATATAATGAATGATTCTACTACTAATAATATGGAGGACTTTTGTGCGAAAACCCCACACCTACTAGGCTTCGTAGGTAGTTAAGTTGGGGACAATATCGGTGTTGCAAGTAGTGGGCCACTGGCCCGTCTCTCTGAATTTAACATGGTATCAGAGCGGGTTGATTGACTGGCCCTGAATTGGACCTCTACCCTTATATGATGTTCACATGTTGGACTTGAATGTCTACCTTACCTTTTACCGAATATGTGGTGCTCACGTGTTGGGCTTGAATTATTGACTCCGATGTGGATTTGGCTCTATGTGTGACCCACTATGTGGTGGTTCCACGTGAGGGGGTATGTTGAAGAATATAAGTCTCACATCGGAAACTTGACAAAATAAAATACAAAATTTAATGAATGGTTCTGCTACTAATAATACCTAGGCCTTTTGTGATAAAACCCCACACCTACTGGGCTTTGTAGGTGATTAAGTTAGGGACAATATCGGTGTTGTTAGTAGTGGGCCGTTGACCCATCTATCTGAATTTAACATACATATACATGAATAAATACATAAATCAATATTTAAATCCTATTAAAATCCTGCACTCTAAAGGATGAAAATTTTGATTTAATTTTATAATTAATCTTTACACGCTATGGAATGATCCATTAAAGAGAGAAAAGAGCAAGGCTACATACATTAATCCATTGTGCTTGTGGTTATGTTTTTTTGTCATGTCTATTCATGTCACACTCATGTTGAGGTATTTATTTGTCCTGTGGGTCATCTTTGTCAAATCTCATAAATAATTATGTTTTGTAATAAGATAGGCAATTCAAAAAAATAAGTGGCTTGACGTGTATTAATGTTACATGAAAGTATAACTTCATCGTACAATAAAGTTAGATCACGTGATGAGTATTGTAGACACAACTGTTAGATTAATTTGATGTAAGTAAGTTTCTCACCTACACATCCCATGCAACGAGAAAATCTGGTGAATCTAAGGAAGTGAAAGAGTAACAATTGACCATCAATCAAGTTTTGGCTTTCTCACCTGAAACATTGATATTGATTCATCTTCTTCAATTTCTTCTAAATAAAATCTTTTTAGCTGTTATCACCGTTTTGGTCTTGGGACCTGCTAGAATGAGGAGGTTATTTGCGGGATGTTAACAACTGTCCAATTAAAATGAACAATTTAGTTTTTAAATTGTAGTTTTGTTACAACCAGGTTAAAAATACCCATCACAAAAACTACAACCGGAACTTCTCTCTCATTCAGGAAAAAAAAAAAGAACAACTTCTCTCTCATCTCTCCCCTTTTACAAGGTCAACATTGATGGTTGTCGGAGTAGAAATACTGGAATTATTGGTGCTAGTGGTTTATTACGCAGCTGGGGCTTGGCTTAAGGGATTTTTTGTGAAAACCCAACAGTCACCACCCATCCCCCCTCCTATTCTTCCGACGAAAATCCAACAGTCACAACCATCGCACTTAAACCCAACCTACCACAACCTACTCCATATCCAAATTTTGAGAGAGAGAGAGAGAGAGAGAGAGAGAGAGAGAGAGATTTCATGTTTTTCTTGGTTTAATGTTATAGTTCACATTTTGATTTTGATTTTGGGGTACTTTGTTTCTGTGTTCATCAGAATTTTGTGCGGTGGGGCTCTAGAACTCTGGTTGCAATGTATCATCTGAGCTTGCATACATTGCAACCATCTTGGCCCCAAGGAATGCATTAGGTTTGAGCCTACGCAGAGCCATATGGGTGTGGACTTGTTGGCCTAGTTTCAACAAGTTATGACTAGTCAACAACATAAAAATTGGTGCATAAAATGAGATGCAAGTTGGGTCTTGTGCTAGCAGTGATTTTAGAATTGTACATGTACGCATTGTTGCGTACAGTGAGAGCAATGGAGCATTGCATCTGGGTAGTGAAGAACATGAGCGTTACGTTTATTTTTTCCATTATAACCGCACAGCTATTGTCACACCCAGGATCGGCTCCGCCGTAGCACGATATTGTCCGCTTTGGGCCCCTTTCTCTGCCCTCACGGTTTTGTTTCTAGGAATTCACGAGCAACTTCCCAGTGGATCACCCATCATGGGATTGCTCTAGCCCCAACTCGCTTAACTTCGGAGTTTCAATGAATCTGAAGCCAGTGAGCTCCCGAAAGGCCTTGTGCTAGATGGAGGTGGGCATGTACATATAAGGTACATCACTCTATTTCCGTTGGTCGATGTGGGATGTCACGATCCATCCCCCTTAGGGGCCCGATGTCCTCATCGGCACACTCGCACTACATGACAGAATGGCTCTGATACCAAATTGTCACATCTCGGATCGGCTCTGCCGTAACACAATATTGTTCGTTTTGGGCCCCATTCTCTGCCCTCACGATTTTGTATATGGGAACTCACGAGCAACTTCTCAGTGGATCACCCATCCTAGGATTACTCTAACCCCAACTCGCTTAACTTCGGAGTTCCGATGAATCCAAAGCTAGTGAGTTCCCAAAAAGCCTTGTGCTAGATGAAGGTGGGCATGTACATATAAGGTACATCATCCCCTCTCCGTTGGTCAATGTAGGATGTTACAGCTATACTTAGGTTCCTTTTTATTATTTATGTTTTTAAATAAATAGTATAGCCGCACAGCTATATTTGGGTCCTTTTTTAAAAAAAAATAAATAATATAGCCGAGCTGGCCACTTTTATAAAAAGTTTTTTCCAATAAATAGTATAGCTGCGCAGCCATACTATGGTCTCTTTTTTGTTTTGTTTTTAATAATTAGTATAGCCGTGCGGCTATCCTTGTGCCCTTTTTAAAATTCTTTTAAATAAATAATATAGCAGCGCGACTCTCTCTCCCCTTTTCTAGCCCCAACACTAGCCAACCGGAAAAAAAAAAACTAACGAACCCACCCCATCGATCCCCAACCCAACCCTTATATATATAACAAATAGAGCCCAACTGCACAAAATTTTGATGAACACAGAAACAGAGTAACCCCAAATCAAAATCAAAATGCGAACTATGACATTAAACCAAGAAAAACATGAAATCTCTCTCTCCCCCCCCCCCCCCCCCCCCAACCTAAATTTGGATATGAAGTAGGTTGTGGTGGGTTGGGTTTGAGTGTGATGGTTGTGACTGTTGGGTTTTCGCCGAAA